GATGGATGGATGGATGGATGGATGGATGGATGGATGGATGGATGGATGGATGGATGGATGGATGGATGGATGGATGGATGGACGGACGGACGGACGGACGGACGGATGGATGGATGGATGGATGGATGGACGGATGGACGGACATATAGATGCATGGATTGTACAACAGAGACCTAACAGGAGCATACTACACAGAGTCAAATTAAATCCTCAAAAAATCCCTCACTCAGTTTGGTTCAAAATAGAAACAATAGAAATGAGCTAAGGTACACACAATGAGTCCAAAATCTAAGGAAACACAAATGGTGCCTAGCAAGTTATAATCACAGCAGTTTTATATAGCTTTGCATAAAAGCAGGCAAAAAAGCAATTTCAAGTGTTGAAATCATACAGGAGCTTAAGTTATTTAGTGTTGGGGTTGATTAAAACACTGAATAAAGCTTTCAAGTTGAGTAAAAGATTTAAGATTTTAATTTGGCTGCAAATAAGATTCATCAGCAGAGGAAAACTCAATTGGATTTTCAGCTTGACAACAAGAAATCAGTGCTTTCAGTTAGTGTTAGTTTTGTTGAAGTTGTTTCCATCTGTGTTTTCTATTCATATGTGTTTTGTTACCTGTTTAAGTAAATTTGCTTCTGTTTTCCCTTCTGATATTTCCCTCAGATACTGTCTTGCCTGACACACCTGCTGTTCATTTGTAACCATCACATCTCCAATTACTCACCAATCAACACTCCCAGCAAATATACTTGTAAGTTCCCTGTCTTCACTGACTTTCTGTTAAATCCTTACATGCATAACCTCTGGTCAGCCTTGGATTTTTGTATTGGAATTCTGGCTTTTCTCTTGCTTATTAAAGGGCCCTTTTGTTTGAATTATGCCTGCCTAACTCCTTATCACCTGATGCCTGCACTCTTGGGTCTTCAACAACCTTAACAACCTTTTAAGGACTGGATATAAAAATATATTTTTAGATAAGCTGAATATCTTCAAAGTAAAGATAGACAGAGATTCATCAGTCAGTGAAATACTGTATACAAAGAGTGGAATAAGTTCAGATATTATTCCTAAACAGAAATTTGGGAAGATAAGAACAAGACTGACAGTCAATATTGGAAGCATTTGGTTTTAGAGTTCTCAAGGAGCACTGCAATAAAACAGGCTCTGATTCTGTTTTCGTCATCACTTCATGGGCTCAGGAACACTTTGACTAATCCATCCATCCATTATCTTTACCCGCTTTTCCATTATAGGTCACGGGGGTCGCCAGAGCCCATGTCCAGCAATCACTGTGTGAGGGGCGGGGTACACCCTGGACAGGTCGTAATTCCATCACAGGGCCACATAGAGACAAACGAGACAAACAACCATTCACTCTCTCACTCTCACCTAGGGACAATTTAGAGTTACCAATCAGCCTAACATGCATGTTTTTGGTCTGTGGGAGGAAACCGGAGTACCCAGAGAAAACCCACGCATGCACGGAGAGAACATGCAAACTCCATCCAGAAAGGCCTCCGGACCTGGATTTGAACCGGGCACCTGCTCGCTGAGAGGCAGCAGCTCTACCAGTTGCGCCACCATGCTGCCCGCCAAAGGAGTCACCAAATCAAATTTGGTGCTGCTTATAAGACTGAGTTTGCTTGCAGCTCAAAATGAAGAAGTCTTTCGGATAAAAGACAAAACATTTCAGCAAAGAAGAATCTGTCCAGAGGACCTGACTCAACTTTGTTAGATTTGAGCTAATCAGTTTTCTATTTATTTTTTCATGAACCTGAGCTGAACAGCCTAAAATGGACTGTCAGAATTGCAAAGGGCATGCATTGTGTGGTGTTCTGAAACTCACGCAGGCGGCCAAGACTGCTTGACTGCCGAGAACGTAGGTCTTCTGTAGAGCGGTGGATCCCAGATGCTGAACTAGTGCTACGACTCAGATTAACTTGTGGACTGCGATCTGATGGAGCAGCAGCAATTAACAGTATGTAAGAACCATTAATGAAGAAAGGATTTCAAGGTTAGAGGTGTAACAGGTAGTGATCAACAGGAACCATTAGAAGGAACATTATTCAGGCAAATAGAGTTAGTACATTGGTAAAATGAAATGGAAACACAATAAATGCATACTGGATGATGTGTTAGAGGACTTTCCTATGTCTGCCAGTGAGCGGTGGATTGGTTTCTTGGTCTGGTGACGGTGTTTCCTTAGCAGGACAAAAATAATCTTCTCCTTTAGATCCTGAGGAATGAGACCATCAGCTATCTGTCGATCCACAATCTCCTCTGAAAGAAAATTTTACAGCGCAGTTGTACACACACGGTATATCATTTTACATGAACAATGTATATTATTGGTTGTATATATTGGGACTTTAGCAAACTGAGGAAAAATTACTGTAAAGCATAGGGGAACAAGGAACATACAGGAAATAAACATCACAAATACAAAAATAAATAAGAAAAATAAACCCAAAAACATTAAACCCAAATGTACAGATTACATAGCACTGATACTGATGGATACTAAGAAGAACAAGAAATTGGTCAGGATGTTCAGGAGCAACCAAAAACGTTAAGCCTGCCATGAACTGGAAACTGTTGGAACACCAGCATCATGGTCCACAGTGAAACAAGTTGATATTGTTATAGTCTGATAGGGTGTTGACCAAGAAGTTCCTGCTCTGAAAGCAAATCCTACAAGCTGCACTGAAATTTGCCATGAAATATGACTGGAGTCAAGGTAAGGCTTGTAAACCTAAGAACACTTTACCAACTGTTGAGCATGGTGGTGGTAGCATCATGTTGTGGTACTGATGTAGGGTACTGAACAAATGATAGAATAATATAGAAGGACTATCTCGAAAGCCAACAACTTCAACAGGTCAGTGGCTAGACTGTTGAAACATGGACACAACTGTTTGTTCCAACAGGACAATGATCTTTAACATACTTCAGAATTGGTCTTTGAATTGACAATGCAAGTTTCGAAAATACCTTTCCCAAAGACTTGTTCGTGTTTGTTTCAGAAAAAAACAAAAAACAGCCTGCCATATTGAGTGGACAATTAGTGGGCAAGGTGCAACTTTTAATCAAACGTTAGTGGCATTTCAAATATAATTTGTGACAAGGGAATTGTTACTAAATTAAAACACTTATGGGAAACAAATCTGACCAATTACCAGCAATGCAAACTAAGCACTGACTGCAATTGCACAGGGTTAGACTCACTCTTAGCAGGGAACCTGACTGAGACACCATAATACACCATAATGTTTTTTTAAGCTGTCAGTATTTGGACAACAGTGTAAAGTGAATGTCCGTTGTAAATAAAAATACATTTTTGGGGTGTAAGAAACTATCTATATGGTGAATGATAAACCACTTTCTGATTTCTAACCTTAACTTTTCTGATGACAAAAGAAACACAACACAAAATAGTTTATTTTAGATTCATCTTGGTAAATTTAGATTTTGATTGGTCATCAAACTATGCATGAATCTGTCCCGTTACTCAACTTCAGATATTACTGCTGCAGAATCTTTAAATTGTGTTGACTGTGTTTTACTTTGTATTCATTAATTTATGTCTCTCGTGTGACTCACCCACAATCTGTGGTAGCGAGTAGCCTTCCAGATCAAGCAAAAGACTCCCTGTCTGCAGACAGGTCCTTAGCTCAAAGAGGCTATGAAGTGTCAGTGTGGAGACATGAGGCTTGCTCCATCTTTCTCCGCCCTCCTCCACCTTCTCCTCAAATTTTACCCACCTAAAAATAAGATAAAAACAATGTTTAGTTATATATATATATAT